TGGTTACGGGGGAAGTCAATCTCACGGGGGAGAGAGCCGCCAAGTTTGAGAGAGAGATCCGTGATCATTAGTGGAGAGAGAGAGAGAGAGGCAATCACCTTGGCAGCTTAAATAAATGGGGACTTTTTTGAAAAAAATAAATTAACCACTAGATGTAGGGTTAGGATGAAGCCACCTCACTACAAAGTTGATTGGAGAAACTTTTAAAAAGAATTGATCCGCTGCCAAGGTTTAAGAACGTGCAGATCAAGTTCAACGGAGCGGATCATAAAAAAATAGGGAATAATATGATTTTAGATTCCCACCTAAGGACACGGTCTAAAATCATATTATTCCCTATTTTTTTATGATCCGCTCCGTTGAACTTGATCTGCACGTTCTTAAACCTAAACACACTAATTTTGGGGTGAACTCGTCGTGTTTTGACCCTTCATCAACTCACCGCAATTTTAACGGTTTCGAATGAATAAAACTTTTTGCATAGCTCAACGAATGGGTAAAACACGACGGGTTCACCCTAAAATTGATGTGTTTGGGTTTAAGAACGTGTAGATCAAGTTCAACGGATATATAGTAGTATAAAATTATAATTTTTAATACTCATAAAAATTCTGAAGTTCAGAGTAGTGATAGGATCCTTTAATATGTTATTAGAGTAACTTAAATTTGAATATTTGTTGACCACGGATTTCCTAAGCTGGTTAAAAAATATATAACGCTATTTGCAGTTGAGTTTTGGCTCATAAAAGGCTTTCGACTTACAGGGACAAGTTACACTACTAAATATTGAGACATTCTAGACGGAAATTTCCGTCTAGGATACCTAGAATTCCGTCTAGAATACGTATCCTAGACGAAATTTCGTCTAGAATACGCGTCTAGTATGTTTCCGTCTAGAATGTAGTATTCCAGATGGAAATTCCGTCTAGAATACATTCTAGACAGATTATTCTAAACGAAATTTAAAACCGTCTAGAATACATCCTAGACGGATTATTCTAGACGGAATTTTCGCCTAGAATACTACATCCTAGACGGAAAAAAATTTCGTCTAGAATGAGTATTCTAGACGAAAATTTCCGTCTAGGATAGTCATCCTAGACGGAATTTCCGTCTAAGATGTTTTTTAATTTTTTTTAATTTAAAAAAAACAAATATCATAGACGGAATTTGAGCATCCTAGATGGAATTTCCATCTAAGATGCTATGCTACAGTAGTTTTTTTTTTTAGAATCTACTTTGAGTGCATGTACACAATATTGAGCAACAAAAAATTATATTCATATCCAACATAAAATCTACTTAAAAAAACTGCAATTTACACTCATGTTCAGCAAATTAAAACAAGGTACAAGCATGTCAGACGAATATCGTACAATATTGATAACATATATAGTAGCAAGTCCTTCAGACACACTGACATACATCACACCAGAATCGGCTACTGCTAAGTAACAAGTTTTTAAACAACACTTAAACGGTTCCCCATTACAACTTAATATAGCTAGAAAATAAAATTAGCAGCTCGATCAACTCGAAGAAGACGAAGTAGAATCTGTCGTCATGTACTAAAACTCTACAGCTCGATCAACTCGAAGAAGACGAAGTAGAATCTGTCGTCATGTACTAAAACTCTACATGTCCAGGCCAGGGTAAAAATCTGTCGTCATGTACTAAAACTCTACATGTCCAGGCCAGGGTAAAAGCAGCACCTCAGTCATTCTTCGTAACCTCTCATCACCTCAACTACCAATTTACATCAAATCAAATAAAAATGAAATCAGTAACAACTGTTTTGATATGGAATTGACCAGTGGAGAGATCTAATTAGTGGAACTAAGTATATACCCTAGTTGGAGAACAGGTAAATTTTGTGTCAAAAAAGAACATAGCACACAAGTAAGAGTGAATGAATTACAGTTGGGTATTGTACAAAACAAAGATGAAATATTAAGAGTCTTTATGCAGTTAGGTAATTGTTGTTGACTGTAATGCACACAAGTAAGGCATAAAGGGTCTTTTAAGTGAGAATGAAGAGTCTTTATGCATTTAACCAGAGAACAACACAAACAGGCTAACCAAATAGAATGTTCGCAAGCTTAAAATATTAAGAAAAGCATAGTACAAATAGGCGACTTTCCTCCAAACATATAGTCCCCCAAAAGAATATTCGTAAGTGAGTTTTCGCCCCTACTATTATGCAAAATCACTAAGAAAGGATTAATTTGAATCATAACTCCAATAGAACAATATGGCTTGAGTAAGTACGCTATTCAAACAACAACAGGGACCTAAGTCAATTCATATTGCATAATTCAATCGTAACAAACAGCTCCTTACTCTAAATCATAATGCAATTTGTCATGATCTCCATGTCCTATTTTTTTAATAAAAAGTTCTACAATTTGTATACTTTTAACCATGCACTTGATTATAAAAGTTATATCAAATCAAGTGGTTATAAAATAAAATTTCTCTATATGATAGCAGATAAGACCAGTTGATCCGTGGTGAATGTGTTCAACATCTAATCTTTTCAAACACAATTTAGAAAGGGAAATACCTATAACATTTATATATTTCAAATAGATCCTTTAGACCAGGTCTCTGAACTTTGATCACAACTTCTGACCCTTTAAGCATGCACGATGCACCTGACCTGTAAACAACAGTTCAATAACATACACTTGCATACTAGAATCATAGAGCACCAGAACTTCAGAAATGTAAATTCCTATTTATTATGTAAGCAAATGAGTATATAAGATTACCAAGACTTGCGACAGCTATTGGCTCATAATCAAACCGATCAAAAATATAATCCACAGGGCTTCCAAGCTCTTCTTCAACAATTGACATAGCTGTTTTTGAAGGAAATGGAGGCACTTGGTCCTAAATAAGCATAGAAATCAATAAATTTAATAACTTATCTGAAAAAGTTGCATCTATCAGTTCTGAGGGTGGAAATGCCACCATTAACTGATAAATACCAAGAAAAATATTATCGACAAAATGGTAACCACTTGCCAATTGAAAAAGAAGATATCATAAAGTAATGTTACAAAAATATATATATAGAACAAATGCCACTACTTGTGAGCTAAATTTTGGAATGAACAGGTCATGGACAGCTTTGTTGACAAAGTTTGTCAACAGCTATGCTAGAAGATGGTTCTTATTTTTTTAATCTTTTTGGAGTTGCAGCTGGTCTGATATGTTAGGGTCACACAGTTCACCGAAGCTATATGGAACTTATAAATTATTATATTTCCCACACTATTATGCATCTCTTCGCTGTTCCATAACTGTAATCTCTTGAGCATTGTAGACTGTTATTTTTAACATCAGAAAAGTTATATGGATACTTCAACTATTTTCTTTTCCATAAAAAATTGTACTCTTCTACGTCAAAATTTTAAAAAAAATTATCGTTAAGAAAAAAAGTTTTTACATATGTTTCTCTTCAAATGCATTGCATGATTGCATCCATTAACATTCCATTTTGCATATATAACTCCTCTAAAAATGTGATTTTTTTTACATGTGCAACTCTGCGGAATGCTGAATGAGGATTGTTCTAAGAAACTCCTTCCTTATTCAAACATCTACTAAAGCTTTTTTTTTTTTAACCTGCTCTTTGAACATTAAGATCTAGTACCTATAATATGCAAGAAAGCATGCAACCGCACCAAAAGTCAGATTGCAACTAGAATGCTCGAAGTATAATTACAAGAAGTACCAGGACAAAATAGATCACTATATTATTATCTATATTCTCAAATAAACAAGTTTGCAGCGAGTAGAATTCAATTATGGTTAGCAAACATAAAAGCGGTTTTCTCAAACTACCTGCGAAGGCACTCTCATAAGTCATAATAAAGAAAGATAGATTGACTGGCTAATATGGAAGATTCTTTAAAATGCTCTTTTAAAAATAAGACACCCAAGAAACTGAAACAATTATTGACCTACTACAAGTTTTCAAAGTAAAATAATTTCATATGTACCAAAAAACCATAAATCATATCAACCAGTCATATGTATATCATGTATGTAAATGCTATGTATTATCTTTAACTGCTTAAAGAACAAAACAGATATAGAGTTCAGAATATACTTGGTGTGTAATAAATTGTGCAAGTAGGCTGGTACAGAGCAATACAGTGGTGTAATGGGTGCATGAATCATATGGTCGACAAGTTTTTTGACCTGAAGTTCGGACAACTGATCAACATATTCTTGTGCAAGAATATCCACCCTTGAAGAAAATTGTTGCCCTATTTTGATAAATGTTGGGCCTAATCTCAAAATACTCTCCTTTAGCCACTTTGCAAGGGCTCTCCTTCTTACTACTTTTTTCTCCTCGGTCATTCCTCCTGCACATTTGCCAGTAACTCATAAAAAAGATGTGATTTAATATCACTCTCATTCAGACTGTAATTTGTTTAAGTTTATTAAATTTATAGTTGTACTCAAATAGTGAATTAACAAAACTCATGCAATGAAAGAACTAAGATTCTACGCTATTCAAACAACAACAGGGACCTAAGTCAATTCATATTGCATAATTCAATCGTAACAAACAGCTCCTTACTCTAAACCATAATGCGTGCCTGTGTAGTATCGCCTCATTACGAGAGTTCAAGAACTGTTAGGACACGGGCTTATGAACCATAAATATGAATCGAACTTCAATTTTAACCAAGTTCTATCATGAGATCCAACCTTTGTTTTAATGGGTCAGACATTTAAACCAGCTTGTGCAGTGAACTCAAATAATTCATTATTTATCAAAGTTGTGATTTTGGGTCAGGCATTTCAACAAACACAAGATAAGCACAAATGCATGCCAGTGCAAATCAAACAATAACCGACGAAATGGGTTCAATCAAGATCAAGATCCAGACCTGGAAATGCCTGCCATCGCGCTTCTTGATTCCGTATCCGAGCTTGACGGTACCGAAGGACTTGATGTCAGTGATCACCCCTTTCCTCTGATACACTCGCTTCCCGACTCGGTCGACGACTGAGCCCGACGAATGACCTTGATCAACGAGGTCGACGCCGGAATCTCATCGGGAGACGAAGATTGCGACGAAATCTTGCGGAGGGAGTTGCTGAGGACGCGCTCGAAGGATTCGACGACGGAGGTGTCACCATCGCCAGCGTCGTTGGGGATCGATTGCCAGCGGCGCAGAGAGAAAGAGAGAGAGAGAGAGAGGGAGAGAGAGAGAGGGGGAGGGAGGGAAGGAGTTAGAAAGAGAATTACAGGGGGAGCTTCTTATTTCGATTTTGGGCGGAAATTTTTTTTTTTTGGGGGGATTTCGATTTTGGAGCGAAAATTTGATGTTTTTATTTTTGTATATGGGTCATTGTATCCTAGACGGAAATTTCCGTCTAGGATGTATCTTACACGTAAATTTCCGTCTAGGATACATAACCATTTAAAAAAATAAAAAAAATAGAACCGTCTAGGATACTATCTTAGACGGAAATTTCCGTCTAGAATATTTTATTGTAGACGAAATATTCTAGACGGAAATTTTCCGTTTAGTTTAATACAAAATAGACGAAAAATTTTTCATCTAGAATATTCCGTTTAGGATATTTTTTTTTTTACTAGTGTTAGAGTATAATTTGTAACTCTCAATCCTAATCATCATGACTTTGGAGTTTAATGTTTATAACATAATCATTTGACACTTTGTAATTGATCAGAATTGTTTACCTTCTATAGGTGCTTCAAGAAAGGTTTCGGATATGTACATGCCTGGGGATGGAGGTTCAAGAGGGCGGGATCCGTTTGATGCTCCGGTGGTCCGCGGTAGGGTTTTAGGTAGGAGGCCGCCATTTTTTCCACCGTCGCCGACCAAAAATGGAAACCAACAGCAAGTTAATCCGTCTCCTCCGAACATCGAATAGTGAAAAAAGGCCATGTTTCTTTAGTTAATTAGCAAGCTATACCAGAGTA